AGCTGAGCCGGGTCCCCCGCCCGGCGTGCAGGCCTGCAGGCTGGAGACGGCCCTCGGCCCGCAGGCCGCTCGTCGCCCCCGCCGCTGCTCTCCCCTCGGGCTGCCCTTTGGGCCGGGCGTCGCTGCCCCGCACTCATGCCTTGGCCCCGGGCGGTTGGGCGTCTTGCCATCCCTTCCCATGCCCCTGCTCGATGCCCAGCTCTCCTGCCGCTGTCTGAGCTGAGAACGGGGCAGTGCCCGGTCAGCATCTCTCTGGTCCATCAGCCTGTTCGGAGACGCGCAGTTGGGCCCACGGGCACCTTCATCCACATCCCGGTCCAGCCCCTGGGCTGGAAGGCCGGAGACTCTGACTCGGGTTCCCACCCTCAAAGGGGTGACTGGCGGCCCGTGTCTCCCCCACAGCACCCCAGAGGCTTGTTTCCAGCCTCACCTCCCCCCGCTCGTGCCTTCTGCCTCCTGAGCAGTACCTGCGCCGGCCCTGGGCCGGCTTCTGCACACCAGCCCTTTGCCCTCCTTGCTCATACCTCCCCCTCCACTCTGCTTTATACCCACCTCAGTTACCAGGGACTCTTCCTCCCTGCAGTCACCGCTGAGGGAAACCGAGGCACCCAGCAGTCCCAGTGTGTGTTTCCCTGGTGAGCTGAGCAGGGCCAGGAGCAGAGTTCAGCTCAGAGCTTCCCCTCTGTTGTACTTGGAATGGTTGGGGTTGGTGCTTGCCTGGGGCTACTGTCCCTTGGGTGGGCGTCTCTCTGGCCACCAGGGCTTACCCTGGGATCTTGAGGCAGGGAAGCCTGCATTTCTAAGACGGCCGCTCCACTGGGACACTGAAGCTCAGTTTCCCCATTGCTGAAATGGGGAGAAAATTCCAAGTGCGCTTCCCAGGGCACAGAGCCGGAGGAGCTGGCCATGACGAGCAAAGTCGGTGTCCAGCGGAGGACTGTTAAGTCCCCCACTTCTCTTGGGGATAACAGGCCTCAGCTCTAGTCCTCCGTGGCTTCTGGGCACAGGAGGTGGGACTGCTCAGTTCAGAGGTAAAACCCTTGGGCAGATGGAAACTCATCCGTGACGGCTGGGGACTGGGACCCTCCTGCGGCTGTAAGTGCCTGCCCAGGACCTGGAAGACGCAAGTGTCTGTGGCTCCACCTTCCCTTTGTCTTTCTCTTGGTCTTTCATTAAGAGCTGATGGTTTTGAAACTGGCAGAGGCCTGAGAGAAGATGAGCTAATGCAGGGCCAGGTCGCCCAGCCAGGGAATGGCAGTCCAAGCGGGGCTGGGACCAGGCCTTGTGCCTCTGGCAGTACCCATTCTCCTGGCCCTGGCCCGTCCTTAGTCACACGTGGGCTGGGCCCTCCGGGGCCGAGTGGGTGACTGCTGGACGCAGGGCCTGGGTAAGGCCCAGGGCCCGGGGAGGGCATCTGTCCCCTGGAGGATCCAGCTCCCAGGACTGTGTTTGTGTGTGTTGGATTTGTTCACTAGAGGGGCACTTCCTCCGGGGCAGGAAGCTTTGATTTCCTGTGGCGGGGGGTTGGTAGGGCTCAGGAGTGGGGGGCTCGGAGTAACATAGGAGATGTGTTACAGACATCCTCAGGCTACCCCTGACGATGTTTGGGGGCCTGGGTTTCTGTTTGAGGCTGCTTCCCCCAACCCCTGCCCAGGGGAAGCAGGAAAGGGGGTGCTGGCCAGGAGTCCAGTGCTGAGGCTAGAGAAGGAGGCTAAGAAGGCAGTGACAGGGGGTGGGCAGCACAGCAGGAAGCCTGGTCAGCAGGTGACCCTGCCGGGTATTGTGTTTCCTTATAATATTTTCCCCTGTTTCTGTGGAAACCTTCCCTGGGGGACCTAGGCCTTAGGGCTGCAGGAAGGTACCCCCAGACAGCCCTTTCCTCAGAGGCCTGCATATGAGGAGGAGCCCCCAGGGAAAGTTTGGCCACCTTCTAATTTTTGTGGCTCCCTAGGACCGGGTTCTGGCTTGAGGAGCTTTGGCATCTGCTGGGGGAGCAGGAGAAGGGGGTACTGGACTTCGGGGAGGGCTCTCAGCAGCTTGAGTCACTAGCTTCGTCCTCTGCCTCCCCTCCTCCCGAATCTCTCTCTGTGGCCTGCTTCAGCCTCAGCCAGGGGAGGTGGACAGTGGGCTGCCTGGGGCGAGGGGTAGGAGTAGGAGTGGCAGAGGCGGGAGGGATGTTTTCATCAGCAGAGCATAGCTCCTTGGGTCCTGGACCGGTTCCCAGTGGCAAAACAAATTCAGGATAGCGTCTGCTTAGTGTGGGTCTCCGTGTGACGTGTGCGCTGGGTGTGTGCTGGGTGTCTGCTTGCACCAGGCTGTGTATGTTGTGGCGGATCTGTGGCAGTTTGTGATCCATGTGGTGGCTCTGTGGTGGGTGTTTTGGTGGCGTGGATGCATATAGTACAGATGTGCAGCATGTGGATAGCGTACACCTTTGCAGTATATGGCTCTGTGGGGGGTGTATGAAGTGGGTATTTTGGGGCTATTTACCTGTTCAGCAGTGACTTTTTTTTTTTCCCTGGTACCGGGGATCGAACTCATGACCTTGCGCTTGCCGGGCAGGCGCTGTGCTGCTGAGCTAAATCCCCAGCCCCAACAGTGACTTTTTAATAGAAGTCCAGATACTCATTTGCAAAGTGCCACCTACATTGTCCTTAAATGCCAGGTCTTAGACCTTTTGCTTTAGAGTGACAGAGGGAATGTGTTACAAACATCCTCAGGCCCTGTTCCTTTTCCTATTCTGACTCAGAAATTGCCTAAGAATCTCGAACCTGTGTGTGTGCGCGTGCGCTAGCGATCGAATCCAGGGCCTTCACCCTGAATTACAGCCCTAGTCCCTTTTTGTTTTTTGAGACAGGGACTCACTAAGTCGCTAAATTCCCCAGGCTGGACTTGAACTTGTGATTCTGCCTCAGCCTCCTGGAATGCTGGGATTACAGGCCTGTATCACCACAGCCAGCCAGGGATCTGGATTTTAAACATGCACTTAGGTGATTCTGGTACAAACTATTTTTTGTTTGACGAAACTGAGACCTGCAGAAGGAATGTAGCTTCCCCAAGGTCGAAGGGCTATTAAGAAGAGCCATTTGGGTGTGGTGAGGCATGCCTTTAATCACAGCCCTCTGGGAGGCTGAGACAGGAGGATCCCAATTTTAAACCTGGCCTGGGCAACTTAATGAGATTCCTCAAAATAAAAAATGGCCTGGGGATGTAGCATGGTGTGAAGATCCTGGGTTCAATTCTCAGTATTGAAAACAAGAAAAAATAAAGAACCAGGACACAACATAAGCCTTCCAAGACCTGTCTGGACAGGATTGAGCACTCACACATGGAGCCACACAGTGTGACGACGGGGCCAGACTGGCCCGGTGTAGATCCTGAGCCTGACAGGGGCTGGCCTTCCTTTCGGGGTCCCGGCCTTCCTGACCTTGTTCTTGTTACGTCCTGCTTCCTGCTCCTTAGGCAGAATCCTGGAACTGGCGGGCAGCAACCCTAAAGGTCAGCGTTGGTGGCCAGGGGTCCTCGCTCCCCAAGCTGGCTGTTCAGCTCTGCGTCCACTCGTTGGGTGCTTGCTGAGAGTTCTGTGTACCACTTCCTGGGCTCAGATGAGCAGTGAAGACAGAGCTACAGCATCTGACCTCAGGGAACTTCCACTCTGGCGGGCAGACGAACGAGAACAAGGTAGCGAGTCAGGGAATGAGTCTGTGTGACTAGTTACGCATCATGATAAGGCCTGTGAAGGAAATGAACTGGGTGCAACAGTCAAAAACAAGTTGGAGCTTCCTTAGGGCGGCCATGGGAGGCCTGCGGAGAAGGCCACGTCGATGCCCTCCCCCAGCTCTCCAGCTAGCCTGCCGAGCCCAGCCCAGGACTGCCTGCCTCCGCGCGGGGATGTGGCCCGAGCCGGGCTGAGGATGAAAGCTGAACCGCTAGGCTGTCTCCTGGCGTGAAGACAGCAGAATTTCCTCTCCCCAAGCAGCACCCAGAGGTTGGCAGGTGGACGGAGGCACAGAG